GTCCCCGCTGCACTGCAGCCGTCCTGGCAGCTGCCGTGAACCTGAATGTGCATGTGGGCTGGAGGCCCTGTCGTGGCCGGCGGGAGGACAGAAGTGGGCAGGCTGTGGCACGAGCACACACTGTCCAGCCCCGCACGGGCCGGCCCCATCTGCATCCCTGTGGCCCTGTCCTCACCGGCTCCTAGGCCAGATCCCCTCTCCCTGGAGGCAGCAGCGGCGGTTTCCATGGCTTCCGCCGCTGAGGAACGCTTGCTGCTTCAAGCTGTACCTTCCTGGCTCTCAGCTGAGGACAGGGGTGCGGCTGTGCACATCTCCCGCATCTTAATGACCTTCAAAATAGGAAACAATGTAACTGGAGGGTCTGGGAACCTCTCTTCTGGAACTGGGCTTAAAGGTTAGCAAAACAGTTCTGAACAATGTGCGAGTAGACCCAAGAAGCAGTTTTCTTTCCTGTAAAAGAATTCCAGACAAGGCTATTTATTACAAAGCTCTTGATATCATTGAGGGTAAGTGGGGGAAAAAAAATGGCAAGTGTTTCCAACATGCATGTGGCTTTGGCGTTGGCTTACTTGTTATCTTTGACAGGGAAAAGGAGGGAAAAACAAAAAACAAAAAACAAAAAACAAAAAACCGACTGAGAATCCTGGCTTATTGTCTCCCAAGGCCACGCCCTCAGATTGAGCGAGTTCTGCCGTGAGTTTATTTTCCCTAGGTTTTGTAAGGTTTTTCACTCCTCCCGGGCACAAGCGTTGCATGTAATTTGCAAGGACAGCAGTTTCTGATGGGAGTGAAGCAAAGTGCGCAGCCGCGCCGGCCTGGCGTCTGCTTCCCTGTCTGCTGCCTTCTGGCCGAGCTGACTGCTGTCTCCGTGCTGAAGACGGTCCTGTGTTCCACACCTGCCGCCTGCCTCCTGCAGGATCAAGCTCTGGCCTGAGGGAGGGCTGCTTCTCTCTCCAAATGGGAGAGGGGAGCCACTGTCGCTTGCCCCAGTTCTGCCAGGGCCAGATGCAGGCTGCTGAAGCAGAGGAGCCATTTCTACTCCCGGACAGACAGCTGCCACGTTCCGCTAGTTTGGGGTCCCCATAACGATGATCCAGGAGTTACAACCTCACCCAGATAACACTCGGCGCCAGGTGCCCGGGCCCTTCTGTGCGTTCACCCTGGGCTCCCTCGCCAGTTTAACGTTGGCTCCTCCTGCTATCTAGTCTGTAGACAGAAGGGGCCAGCAACATTTGGGCATTAAGAACTCTCTGGACCTCAGGGACTCAGCAGGTAGAGCCAGACGGACAGCCAAAGATGGGTGGCTTTGAGATGCAGCACTTCACAGGCCAGCGCTCCCAGCGCTGCCAGCTGCACCCACACGCTGAGGCCGCCCCCATCCTGGCGGCCTCCTGGCTTCCCACATGGAAGCCTCGCCTTTGTCAGGAGGACAGCTGTAGGGATCGCTGAGCTTCCTTTACACTGTTACCGTCTGCCTGGCTCTCGCTGGGGTGGCTGAGCACCACATGGGCAACTTCTTCCACCACAGGGCAGCGGCGTGAGGTCAGGGAGTCCCCAGCCCACTCCAGGGAGGTGCCCGAGGTCTGAATGGCCACGTCTGTAGGGGCAGCTGCAGTGTGGAGTGCGCTGGGGAATTCTGTCCTCAGCCCACTGGGAAGCTCTTCTTTCTGGAATTAGTGTTGTCAGGTGTAGATGCATGGCTGTTGAGCGGTGTATGTGTGTGTATAGCGTGACCTCCCAGGGTGTCTAACTCCAGCACACCACTGAGAAGCAGGCAGAGAGGTGTCCCCCTGGGACAGGGTCCTGTGGAAGGAAAGTGATTCCACCGAGGGTTTCTCGTTTCCTGTGACCCTCTGCCACGCTGTGCTCCAGGGAGAGTAGATGCGGGCTGTGGGGGAACCGCCCCTACGCAGCCCAGGGCCCGGCCTGCTCCCCTAGCAGGCATAGCATGGGCATGGCGTGTCTTTTAGAACAGCCTTTCCAGGCGGGGGCAGCTGAGAGCAGACAGCGTCTCCAGCTCTGAGGGTGTGGGCCTCCGACTCCCTGGGCCACAGTGAGTGAGAGCTAATTGTGTTAACAAGTGGTATGTGGATTTTATTTTGTTTTACATGAAACCTGTTTTGTGTATGAAGGAACCCGACTCAGGAGATGGCACTTCAGATGTCGACGAGCATGTCGTAGCTCAGCTTTGCCAATGCCGCGGGTGCTTTTTCTTTGCTACCCATTACATCCATGGCAGCCGGGGGGGGGGGGTTGCCACAGCCACTGACCAGGAGGCCTTGCTTTTGAAAGCACCATGCAAGTCCATTGGCTGAGTGCTCTCTCTGGAGCAGGAAAGACAGAGGTCTTCCAGGCTCCCCTGACGCTGTGCTCCCCTGCAGGCGGGCTGGAGCTAGAGGCACCTCTGGGCTCTTGGCTCAGGAGCGCCTGGGCTGGGGCACTTTTTAGGCTGCCCGAAATCTAAAACATGATACCAGATGCACGTCTGAAAACAGGCTGGGGAACCCTGTTGTAAAAGAAATTAGACAACGCAGACCTCTTTGATGAATAACACTGACTTTGTGAGGAAGGGAACTGGTTGTTCCTGACAAATCAAGCAGCCAGACCCAAGCTGCTGAAGCCCATGAGCCCCTACCCTGCCCCCGCCTCCACCCCAGCCCTTGCTCTTGCTGAAGTGGGGCCCAGCCAGGCTGGCTCCAGGTTCCCTCTTGATCAGATCCGAGGCCAAAGGAAAGCCTAGCCTGCTCGGCTTCCCTTCAAGGGCTAAGAGACAGCCCGATTTGCCCCGCAGTCTGGCCAATAAGCCAGCAGGACTCAAATGGGATGCATCTGAGAAGAAGGCACTGCAGTGGACTTCCCGGGCTATCACTCTCAGCTGGTCCCTGCTGGTGGGTGGGGGACGTGGAGGACACTCAGGGTAGCCTGGATGAGCTGGCCTGGGCCTGCACGTCTCACTGCAGGGTGATAGACCTGAGGGAATGTCAGAGTCACACCTGTCTCCCCCACACTGGCTGCAGATATTCAGAGCCCCGTCTGAGCCTCCCTGCAGGAACTCTCTGGAGAGCTGGGGTCAGCTGGATGGTCTCAAGGTGGGGTGAGGAGTGACAAGTGCTGATGGCCCACGGGCTGACGCGAAGGTGACAGAGGACTGCGCTTGAGCAGCTGCGCTGCGTGTGTGCATGCCTGTGTGCGGCACACAGTCTCAGGGTGCCTAATGCTCACAGGCCTCTGAGAAGTGGACAGAGGGAGGGGCAGGGCCCTGCAGCAGGGAAGTGACTCCACCTGAGGGTTCTCACTTCCTGTGACCCTCCGCAGTGCTGTGCATCCACTCTGCCCTGCCGCCCGTCAGTGCTGCCAAGAGCAGAGCTGCCACTGCTGTCACCCCAAGTGTGCTGGGAAGGCGCCACACTGCTTTTCTGTGAGCTGGGTGTGTGCGCCTGGAAGGGGGTTGGTGATCACGCTGGCTGGCTTTGCGTCCCCAGCTCCCGTCTGTGCTGTGCGACTGTGGCCGCCTCTGCTGGCCATGTCCCTGGCCCACTCTTGCTTCATTCCGCCTCCCTCTGTGCAGCAGCCACCCTCCTGCGTGTGCACACTTGGGTCACCTGCACCAAGCTCCAGCTGCTTGCTGGAGTGTCCCGTGGTGTCTCTGCGCCCTGCCATCCACACATGAGAACAGGGGTGAGAGTCATGCCCCCAACTCTGTGCAAGGGTCCAGCTTTCAGGGCACTGGCACTGCCATTCCCTGGTCACTGTGGCAGACAGCTTCTTCGCCCACTTTGCTCTAGAGCTGTGAGCTCCTCCCCCCACTGCTGATGCCCCGTTTCCTGCGGCCTCTCTGTGAGGTACCCCAGGGTGCAGCCCTGGCGCATGTGCCTGCCCTCTCCTGCCCACTCCTCATGGGCACGGCCTCATGCCACCCTGAAGGCTTTCTGTTGGCCAAGGACACTGTCTTGCACCTGCTCCTTTAGGTCACTGCTCCACATGCGTCAGAACAGTGCTGTTCAGACCAAAGGCTCATGCTGGGCCTGGTTTCTTATTCCCTACCATCTGCCCAAGGCCCTGACCAGCAGATCGGTTCCGAGGGAGCCTTTTCTCCCATAAGAGTTTCACCCTGAGCCTGGGGCTGCATCCTCCAGTGTCTCCTTTCTTCCTTCCAGGGACCTGGGACCAGAGCACCACTCTCCAACCCAGGAAAATGGATCTTCTCTCCCAGGTTGCATGGACACTGAGCTAAGTTACAAGGTTTACCATTTGTCTCACTTGACCAGAACTTGAACAGAGATGCCAAGGGTCACAAGTGGGGTGTGTGCAGGTCCAGCAGGCGGGAGTCACCCTCTCAAAGCCCAACATGAAAACACAGAGCCCAAGAGCTCTAAGCCAGTGGTGGCGAACCTGTGGCACACATGCCAGATCAGGCTGTTATCACTGCATGTGCTAAAAGGTTCGCCATCACTGTTCTTGGCTCAAGGGCAGTCCCCACTCACAGCTTTCTTGCTCTCAGCTGCAAAGATACCTCAGCAAGCCATGAGCCTAGGTCTTTGCTTCACTTTGGTGAATAAAAATGAACTGCTGTGAAATGCCCACAGCCACACCGTGTGTGGCTCACACTGAGAGCAGGGGCCTGCAAGCTGCTCCATGCAGCAGCCTCCACCTTGTGCTATTTTAGATGAAATGCTGCCCGCATATTTGCTTGTATTTCTTTTTTTTTGATTTCTTGGTCATGCAAAACTCTGTGCATGCAAGGATATTAAATAGTGCCAGGAGCAAGATTGTGTTTACCCTGATCCATTTTTTAAAAATGTCCTCTTAGTAACCCAAAATGCCTCTCAGTGACCCAAGAGAGCTCAGAGCTGCAAAGCCCAGGGGCTGGGGAAAGGACACACGTCACCTTGGAGGGGCAAAAGAGGACACACACCACCTTGGTGGGGCAAAAAAGGACACATGCCACCGTGGAGGGGCAGAGCCACAAGCACAGCCAAAGGACCCCAGCAGGTACACAATATAAATGCTTTATTGCTAGCACAGGCTTCTTCTTAAGTAAATTAAAAGAAATAAATCTTCATTTTCACATTCTATATTGCAGTTCAAAGAAAACTAGCTGGTTAATGGGCACGTCGGGGTGGATGCACTACGAGGGGAGACCAGGGCATTCGCGGAAGGGCTTGGAAAGCCGCTTCGGTCCAGGCATCAGGCTGCAGACCACGCTGCTGTTGGGAAATGACAGCAAGGAGAGACTTCTTTCAAACATCATGGATAAGCAAGGCTGAGAAACAGAAAAATGGCATAGGTAGCGAGCTGGAACTGCTAACCGCAGAAGGCTGAGAATGTTCCACACTCACTAGGTTATGCTTGGTACTTTTAAATACATGACCTTCATCTAGGTTAGAAACTGGCCGGAGAAAAGGACGCCACAGTGTGTCCACCAAGCAGGGACTCCATGGAGAGAAGGGAGGACAGTGAGCCTGGAGGGAAGGGAGGCCAGCCTGCTGCACACCGCTCCTCTGCAGGCCCGGGCTGCTGGGCAGAGGACCCCAGCCGGGGAGAAGGGCAGAGGAGCTGTGGTGGGGCGCGGGCCCTCGGCCCTTCTGGGTAGCTGCCCGCGGGCTTCAGGCATGTTATCTGCGTGGGTGATGGCTACTCCCGCGGGCCGGCCTGAGAGGGCGCTGTGGGTCCCAGCTGTAGCCGTGATTCCCTGCACAGGGACTGGCGACCAGTGCTGGACATGGGGTTATTTCTGGGAAGCACCCAGCCTCACCACCTTCTTGGGCCTACCTGGAGGGGCTTTTGGTAAGCTTGCAAAGGGTCTCATCTGTGTACAAAAGTGCCATCCGCCCAGAAAGTGTGCATGCGTGTGCACACACAAACACGGGCAAACGCTGCCACAAGCTCTGAAGCTGCAGCGCCTGCGCGACGACCTGTCCTCTCCATTTCCTGCCCTTCTGCTCCCATCATTGACAGACTTAAGGGAACCAGAGTGGGTCAGGAGCCTCCCAAGTTCTTACTGCTTAGAACATCCTCGGGGTACCAGCTTCTGGCAGTTTCGGTCTGGTCTCCTCTAACTAAAACCAGTTCATGTTTTTCTTTGAAGAAATGGCTAACATGAAATGGTAATTTGGCTGCAAAGCTTTGGAAAATTGTTCCCGGCCCAAACATCTGTCCCAAATGAGCTCCGCTGAGATTTCCTGGGAGGAGAAGCGGGCTGGTGACGGGAAAATGGGGAGGAGAAGAACGAGGACAGTGCGAAGGCCACCTGTCCTGGCCAGGGAATTAGCGACAAACCCTCGTGCAGCCCTGGCCCCGCCCTGCCCTCGGGGAGTGGAGCTCCTCCCCATATTGGGCCTCACCAGGTGACCCTGTCCAGAGGAGCACAGAACCCTGGCCCCGGCCCGCGCTGTGCCCGCATCTCAACCTGAAGGCCACAGCCCCCCTCGTCTTCCCCAGGGCAGAAGCAGGGGTGCCCCCACCACTTTCACCTTGCTCCTGCCTCCTAGGAGTTCTTCTGCGGAATCTTGACGGTGACCGTCTTAACTTCCGAGTACTCGCGTAGGCCCAGCTCTCCCCTGAAACACAGGAACAGGCAGCTGGGACGCCCATGTGGGAGTCCTCAGAGGTGCAGGTTGCCCCCAGGAAGTGCAGGCCTTGGACAGGCAAAGCTGCCCTCAGCGGGCCTTCGTCCACCACTGCAGGAGCAGCCACCAGGCAGGACAGTGGCAGGACCGTGCATCTTCACAGCGCTGTGTGACTGCCAGCCGCTACCCCTCCCAGCTACCAGGGTGCCGGCCTGGGGGAGCCGAGCCAGAGGCGCCCAGGGCAGGCCAGGACTGGTGTCAGCACCTGGGCCACCCACAGCCGGCTGGTTCCGTCCGAGGAGCCACGCAGCTGCGCCCTGGGTCAGAGCTTGTGCTTCATGCCCCCCGCTATGGGGTGGCTCCGTCCCTGTCATGAGCCACAAGAGCTGGTTGCTGCCACTGCGGGAATGACTGGGTCCCAGGCTGGGCCCTAGAAGTCAGTCTTGGGTGCGCTGTCCAGGGTCAGGGAAAGACTTCGGAAGCACAAGAGCTGACTAGGAAGCAACTGGGAACTGTGCACTCTCCCGAGGCTGCCCTTGCCGCTTCTTCTCTGGGATCTGCCGGTCAGTCGTCAAACACTTGCTGAGCTATCTCTAGGCAGCAGGGACCTTGGCTCGGAGTGGTGGCGCTAGCCCGCCGGCCCCAGCCTCCTCGGAGCTTGCGGCTGCACATGGCCGGGCCTGCTGGCCTTACCGGCCGTCCGCCCTCCTGCTCTGTTCTCCTCCCTTCGCCTCATTCCCGCTGCTTTGCCTCCCTCCCCACTCATCGTAAAATTAAGCATGTCCAATTCCCTTTGAGAGGCTCCATGCCTCTGCTGGGCGGGCTTCCTGTAAGCTGACAAGGCCCAAGGGACACGGAGGGCCACAGCCGGGTGGCAGGTCGCCCCGTCCTACGGGAGCCCTCATTAACTCCGTGCAGCAGCCCGCAGCCCTTGGAGGCCAGCACAGCCCTGGCTCACCAGACATCTGCCTGCCTGTGGGTAGCCCCTGCCGCTCCCCCAGGACTCTGAGCACCTCTGTCTGGAGCACGGTCCCCCCTCCGCACTTCCTGGCGTGTGCGTGCAAGTGCTGGGGCACACCCTGGACGCCCTCGCCTCCCACTTGGACCTCTGGGCTCTGAGAACCGTGAGCAAGTCCGCAGGCATGCGGGAAGGACTAGGAGCCAGGCTGGCTCGGGTTCCGGTCAGGGCCAGGCCAGGAGCTCACGCTGCCCATGCGCCAGGCACCCAGGGGCCCCCGGGAGGCGCCTCGGAGCAGCAAGGGGTGTAGAGTCACCCAGGGCGGCCCGCCATCCTGAAGCTCTGCAAACGCAAGTCAGAACCCACGAAACTGTGGTGACTCCTCTCCGCAGGCCCGGGGGTGGGTGGGGGAAGGGGGGAGTCAGGGGCAGAGGGGCACCTGGAGCACGCTCTGAGAAGCCCCGCGCCAGGGCCCGAAGCCATGAGGTGCGCACGTCCCAGCTCTCCGCCGCAAACCTGTCCACCCTGTTTAGTTCGGAGCCACACGGAGGCCCACGATTAACAAGGAAAAGCTTCGCAGCACGAAGGCCAGCACCAGGTCGCAGATGCGCCTCTGTGTGTGGTCACTTGGACAGATTCGCAGCGCGGGGGGCAAGGGGACACGTAGAAGCTGGCCCTCCTGCTCCTGGGCAGAGCAGGCTGTGGTCCCTGTGGTGGGCCAGGCAGCGCACGCCTCGGACTAAGGAAATGCTGGGCTTGAGGAGTGCCCAGCAAGCTGCCGCAGGAATCGCTTGGACTCGCCCAAACCAAGCAGGGGTCTCTGCTGAGGGGATTTATTTCCTGCGCTTTCACTTGGCTCACAGTGGCGTTTCTCAGAATGAGGCCCTCAGACCACCTGCATCCAAGGCCTTCCAGAAGCTTGTTAAACATGCAGATCCTGGGCCCTCGCCCAATTCTGCTAAGCAGGGCCTCTAAAACGGGCTTCCCAGATGAGCATGCTTGACACCCCACTGCGGGCTGCGCACCACACGCACACACACCCCTCAGCTGTGAGTGCCCCGTCACACGCCCATTTGCAAAGCCTGTGTCCCTGGTCCCTACAATGCTAAGCTCACAGTGTCCCTGGCCTTGTCTGTGGCACGCACTGCCCAGCTTGTGCTTCACCCCTGGTCATCGCAGGGCACTGACATGGGAAAGGGTGGCAAAAGAGGAATCCTGGCTGGGCAAGCAGAGCCCGAAAAGCCGGGCTGGGTCTCCGAAGCGCAGAGGGAGGAGCCAGCCCACCAGGTGCAGCACAGGCTGCAGGACTCAGGAAGCAGGGCTCCCTGAATGGGACCTGGACCCACCATCCACAGAGCAGCTCACTCTTTAGGAGGAAGAGGGGGAGGAGGAGAGAGAAAGAGGGGAGAAGGGGGAGGAGGAAGAAAGAAGGAGGAGCAAAAGGGGGAGGAGAGAAGGGGGAGGAGGAGGAGGAGGAAGAGGAGGAGGAGGAAGGGGAACGAGAGAAGAGGAGGAGGAGAAGAGGAGGAAGAGGAAGAGGAGAGGAGGAGGGGGAGGGGAGAAGGGGAGGAAGAGGAGGAGGAGGAAAGGGAACTGGAGAAGGGGGAGGAGGAGGGGAAGAGGAGGAAGAAGAGGGGAAGAGGACAAGGAGGAAGAGGAGGAGAAGGAGGAGGAGGAAAAGGAGGAAGGGGCAGGAGGAGAAAGGAAGAGGGGAGAAGGGAGAGGAGGAGGGGGAAGAGGAGGAAGAAGAGGGGAGGAGGAGGACGAGGAGGGGAAGAGGAGGAAGAAGAGGGGGAAGAGGAGGACGAGGAGGGGAAGAGGAGGAAGAAGAGGGGGAGGAGGAAGAAGAGGAGGGGAAGAGGAGGGGAAGAGGAGGAGGAGATGGCAGAGAAGGAAGAAAGTCTTTCAAGGTTGGAGGGTGACAAAGTTGCAGTTGGGGAAGAAAGCAGAAAGGCGCTGGGTGAGCAGTAAGGATGGTGCAGTGAGCCTACAGCCTCGGGCACCTTCGCTGGTCTTTTTCTACCCCCAGGGTTACAGCGTTAAGTGGTGACAGCTTCAAGGCTCAGAGCAGTTTGGAGAATCACACTGCTCAGATATGAGGCGTGGCGCTTGTACCTGTGCAACCTTGGACAAATAACTCAATCTCCCAGAGCCTCCGTGTTCTCATCTGCAAGATGGACGCATTCACAACACCTGGCAGGGTTATCATCAAGACTGCAGGCTGTCCGGCAGCGTCCAGCAGGCCTTCTGAGGGGGTCAGCTGCTGTCTCTGAGATGCGACTTAAACCCAACGTTTCCACCCACCTCTCCAAGAAGTCCCTCTGCTAATCCTATGCCCTAACTTCAGCCTCGATCTCAAAAGAGCCCTCGGGGCCTGAGCTAGCGACCCACAGGGCGGTACGCTGAGCAGGCCTGGCCGTGCACACTAAGGCCTGGGACACTCAGGATTGGCGGCAAAGTGCAGAGCGCACAGGTGGGGAGTCGTTGGGGGTGAAAACAGGCCAGAGGACTCCAGAATTTAGGTAAAGCCTCTTCCTTTTGGAGTCTTGGGCAAAGGCCTCAGACGCTGTGAGGCGAGCCAGTGGCAGAGGCCACGCCCGGCCCTGGCTGGCGGCGTGGGCTTCCTCCTCCTCCAGCTCGGAATGGCATTTCCTCTGTGATGCCTTCCCTCACCCCGTCAGACAACTCCGATGGATTCCTGCCTCCATATTTATAAGATTTTGGGTCTACGCTCCTTAGCGACTCCTACTACATGACGCTACTGGTGTACTAACTTCTCTCTGCCTCCACTCAGTGTCAGGCAGCTTGTTCTACACGTGGCTGCTACGCGCTTACAGCAGCGCGCTCACCGAAGGCTCCTGAGGAAGTAGAGTGACGTGGGATGAGGAAGAGGGTGAGTGTGAGCAGGGAGGGAGAAGACCAATCCAGGCGCATGCACAGCACCGTGTGGGCCGCTGCCTGCTGATTTCCGCTGGCCTACTGAAGGGAGCAGTTAATGCTCAAACTTTTTTCTTCTCCTTTTCAGTTTCTTCTTATTTATTTACCAATTTTGCATGTTTGTATCTGGTAATCCAAACTAATTTGAAGACATTATGCAATATATCAATCATTGTCAAATTCCTATTATTTTGTTTAGTGAAATTCTGTATCATTTCTTTCTTTTTCTTTCTTTCTTTCTTTTTCTTTTTTTTACTATTTTGTATTCTCTTCTTTTTTTAAAAGTGGACGTGAGAGAGCAGCGCTCGGCCGTGCCGCCTGCAGCCGCGCCCTCCGCAGACAGCAGCAGCTGGGTACTCACATTTCTCTCCCGCTCCCAGACATCTTGAAGCCCCCGAAGGGGCTCTGGGCGTTGAGGGCATTGTAGCAATTGATCCTGAAAGAAGAAGATAGGCCGTGTTGTTAGTACACACTCGACCTGCACAGAGACAACCGAAGCAGCACGCTACCGCTTTCGAGTTTTACTTTCAGTTGCTTTTCTCCAAATGAGCAAACTGCAGGCTAAACCCTGCCGTGATACCTGGTCTGGGTGACTCAGGCCTTCCTTGTCCTTAGAGGTATGTATGGAACCCCGGGCCCCAAGGACTACCATGCCCTGCTGTAGTTTGGATGTGCTTTGTCCCCAAGGCTCGCGTGCGCCAAGCAGGGGTGGCAGTGTTGGGGGATTGTGTGGGCCAGACTGGGAGTCCTCAGGCCACCGGGACGGCTGCGCTCCAGCCTCAAGCTCTCCCCCATGGGCCTGCGGCCCAGGATCCCTCTCTGGCCTGGTGCTTGAGGACGCCACCGCTTCTTCCCCTTGTGCTCCCTCAATTCTATCCCTCACAAAGCGGCGGAGCCACGGGCCCCTGCTGTGGACTCACAGCCACCAAAGTTGTGAGCTGTGAGCGGCAGAAAACTTTACCAAGTAAGCCCAACTCTAGAGATCTGCCACAGGAATGGAACAGGAGCCAGTACGAGACTCTGGCACCCGCGGAGTCTGCCAGGGCCAGGAAAGCAAGGCTGCTTCTGTTCTTACCATACAGTCCCAGCCTGCATTGCAGAAGAAACCGTGAGAGCCTTGTTGATGTCGTTAGTGAAGACGGCGGCCACAAGCCCGAAGTCCGTGCTGTTGGCTCTTTCAATGACTTCATCCATCGTCTTGAACCTCAGAATCTCCTGAACGGGACCAAAGATCTACAACAGGACAGCGGGACTCAGAGGGGCTGCTCTGCCGTTTCTGCCTCTGCTCTCCCCCTAAAGCAAGTGTACTTGGCCTTGGCGTCTGAGGTCAGCAGCCCCAGAGTGCCACGTATTCAGACCTCCCTGGAGTGAGATCTTGTGAGCCTCACGTCAGCATCCACACGCGCCAGCTTGTCCAGCATCACCTCCCGCCCCGTGTGTACAAAGCGTGTGTTCTTTAGGCATAGGAGAGAAAGTGGCTTCCCCCCGACCCCAAACACCACTCGTGACCACGATAAACACGCTCCTGCCTCTCATGCGCCAGACACAAGGCTGCGTGTGTATTCTCTCTCCCACCCAACCTCCTTGTGGCTCGTATTTTTGAGAACTGCTGTTGGCAGCGCACCATGGAGACCCTGCCTGGCCATTTGGGTTGTTCTGTCAGTTAGCAGCAATCAAAGTCACACAGACGACGCCCCCAACCTCCCACTGTAGCTCACGGGGTTTGGGTTTAACTTTGTCCTTGAAACTGGGCCTCCCTAGCTGTAGCCTTAGTTATTGCTCTCACGGAATGAACGCGTGTAAAATACTCAGAGCTAAAATCCTGACGTGGTCTGCTAGGCTCACTCCGGAAACCACCCCAAGAAAGTCGCAGCTTCTGTCGGAATGCGGTATGTGGTACCTCCTCCTTGGCAATCCTCATGTCGTCTGTGACGTTGGAAAACACGGTGGGTTCAATGAAAAAGCCCTTCCGGCCCAGGCCCTTGCCGCCACACTCCAGTTTGGCGCCCTCGGCCACGCCGCTCTGGATGAGCTCCAGAACCCGGTTATACTGCTTCTTGTCGATCTATAGGAGGAATGACGCCACAGGAGAGGCCACAAGCAGCCGCCCCGCTGCAGACGGACGCGCATGCGCTCTCAGCACCCTCTCCGTTAGGACTGTGTTTTTAAATTGTACTATATAGTTGCAATTCACCACAGTCACACCTTAGGAAGCTGGTACTGACCGATGGGTCAGCTGTGAAGACGGCAGCTCTACAGAGTGCCTTGATGTGCACGGGGGCTCCCGGAGAGGGCACTGCCCCGGCGGCCGCTGCTAATCTGAAGCGCCAGGTGAAATTTTAGGGGACATTTCCGAGTGATGGGGACACTGGCTAATTTATCATTCACAGCTTGTAAGAGGAAACTCCAACTTCTATATGTGAATGAGTAATCTAGCAAGCTGTGATGAAAAAGTGCATCAGCTATCACAGTCCTGTTTTGATAGCGTCACATACCAAATCCACGGGGTTTATTGTTAAAGTGATTGCTTTAGAGATAATTAAGCTTACAGAGCGAGGACCAGCTTCCTAGTCCAAAATATAAAGACAGTGTCTCCCCTGCCCCAAACTAAGAACTATCTTTAATTCAGTTATTATGGTAAATAACACAGAAGCCTACGCTCAGCCCAGAGTGAGCTCGGCTAGAACATCCGTCTTCAGCGCTGGGCAGACGCCTTCCTGCAGAGGAAGACCCGCCGGGGGACCGGTCGGGGCGGCCCTCACGCCCCTTTACAGACACTGGGACTCCCAGTTCACTTGGGAGTGCATTGCCACCGCTGCGGGGAGCCCCAGAGGAGAGGCCCTGCGCAGTGAGTGCAGAACCCCGAGCTAAGGGGACTCCCCTTGGGCCAGGGCGGCGTGGAGAAACGGTCCCTGCCTCAGGTGCCACCCGTGGTGAGGACCGGGCCTGGGTTCGGGGTCAAGATCTGTCTCTCAGACGCCAGGCCACGCCCATAAGCTCAAAGCAGCCCTACTCAGCCCTGGACTCCTGGCGGGTCAGAGATGAAAGGCAGCCTAAGAAGAGGGTGGTGTCCCTGGCCCAGAAGGAAGCGGGTGGGCGAGGAGGAGGCGCCCGAGGCCGCGCGGGCCACGGACGCAGGGGCAGAGGGGTGCGGGCCTGCCTACCTGCGGGCCCTGCTCGGTGGCGGGGTCGAAGGGACTCCCCACGATGCGCCGCTTGGCGCGCTCCACGCTCCTCCGCACGAACTCCTCGTAGACCGGCTCCTCCACGAAGATGCGCGAGCCGGCCGTGCAGCACTGGCCCTGGTTGAAGAACACGCCCTGGTGCGCCTGCTCCACCGCGTAGTCCACTGCAAAAGGAGACGGCCGTGTCCACCAGCCCGGCGCTGCCCCCCTGCCCGCAGCCCAGGTGTCGCCAGTTGTCACCCCAGGGCACAGCAGCAGCAGACAGCTCCCGGCTTGGGTCTAGATCAAGCAGACCCTAACATTATTTGTGACGCAAATGGGGCTCATTCCACTCCCTGAGTCCCTTTCTTGTGCTATAAACAGCGAGATGGACTCTGCCGCCCACAGAGCAGTCCCCAATGCCACTCTGCAGAGCGACCAGCCAGGTAATGGCTCACCCCCGCCAGCTGACCAGGCACCAGGAGGGGCAAGGAGAGGGAGAAAGGAAGGCCCGGAGTTGGCTCTCTGCCCTCAGGAATATGAGCTGACAGCTCGCCAGAGCTTTCCAATTTAAAAACAAAACGGAAATCAATATATTTATTAATGTACAATTTTGGGTTTTGCCTTGGTGTAATGTTTAGACAGGTCAGCACATATCTAGGTATGCCCGGCCTGTGGCCGCCAATGTACAGCCCTAACCTGGGGCTCCTGTGGGCTCATGAGTGCTTTGGTCGTTAGGCCGTGCGTCTGTGCAGACTGCGCTTAGCCCGTGTGCAGGCGGAATCGTACAAGAGCAGTGGCATTGTTTTCCTCTCGCCTCTTACAGCCTACACTTAAGTCATCACCGCCAGCGAGGGCTGTGCCGCCATGTGGGGCTTGGCTGCTGGGTGCGCCAGGGCCTGGGCAGGAGCAGTGCAGTGCCTGCTGCTCCCAGAGACCGGGCTCAGGAGACCCGACCTTGACAACCAGTGTGAGGCCAAGGCGGAGCTCTGCAGATCCATGCTGGGGCCTCGATTCGAGCCATCTGCTTTCTGTCTTCCGACCTCTGCTTCGGCGGAGCTGGGAAAGCAGCTCGACTGGGGGGAGGATGTGAGAAGACACCCACGACTGGATGGGATCTTGGAATTTCATCCCCGGAGAGCTTTCCAAAGCTGAAAGCCACACCTGTCCAGCAGAGAGCAGGTGGCCTCCCTGCTACAGATGTGGGCTTCCTAGGGTACTTCCCTGAGCTTCCGTGAAGTCCTTCAGGTGAGGGCCATCCCCACGAGGGGGCCTGGGTGTGCTCTGTGCTCACCAGAGGTTCTGTGAGTAACAGGCAGGGCTGGGGCGGCTGGGTGTGTGGAAACGGTGGCCGGGCTGGTGGGTGGGAAGTGTGTGTAGCGGCCTAGCGCTAGCAGGCCCACTAAGAATCTAGCCTTCGTGAGCCTAGCCGCAGGATCTGCATCTGCTGCCTGAGGCTTGACTTCTGCTGTCCAGCTCTGCAGTGTCACAGAGCCAAAGTGGCCCACCAGCATCTAGAGGCCCCTTCCTCAACAGGAGGCTGTTTTCTCTCAGAAAGATGTCTTGATTGCCCTTATTATCAAAGAGATCTTGTCTGATCAAGAGTGAGACACACCAGTGCTCAAGAAGCTGAGGCAGGGCTGAGAAGATAACTAAGCGCCTGCCTGGCAAGTGCAAGGACCGGAGCTCAATCCCCAGTACTGCATGCCGTGCTGGCCCTGGAACCTGGAGTGGTGGCGCACACCTGTAATCCCAGCCCTGGGAGGCTGAGACAGGAGGAACTCTGTGAGTTCAAGTTCAGGTTGGGCTCCATAGTGAGTTCAAGGTCAGACTTACCTATATAGTGAGACCTTATCTGAACAAACCAACCAACCAACAAAAACCCCAGCCAGGATTAGCGTGCTGGGACGCACACGCGATCTGCGGCTCACTTACGGTCTGCATCTGCAAAGATAATATTGGGACTTTTGCCTCCAAGTTCCAGAGTTACTCTCTTCAAGTTGCTCCTCCCAGCTGCCTCTTGGATGAGCTTTCCAACCTGGGGGGAGGAGGGAGGAGAGGTTAGCACAGCTCACAGCTGAGCAGTGGCGGCCGGAGCCGGTGCAGGGCAACCGCGAGAGGCGGCCGTCACGGATGCTAGACGGCAAAGGCCCCAGGGACCACTCGGGGGGCCGGCGCGCACAGGTGGTCGAGGCGTCCAGCGGCGTCTGCAGTGCAGCGGCCCAGGGACACGCTGGTTTCCTGATGGAAGGCCCAGGGAGTGGAGTTAAGCCTGGAATCTCGATGACCAGATTTCCTGAAGGATGCGTGGCAAACAGCATGGGCAGCGATCCATCAATGCACTGTGGCCTGCGGCTTGGAACAGCAGCCTCCACAGTGCCACCAGCCAGCCCACCGGAAAGATAATCGAGGGCAAAGTGAGGGTCCACGCAGCTCCAAAGTGGCAGCTGGTGGGGGTCTCCAAAGGGACACATTTTGAGATCAGTGTCACACTGCATCCTGGCCCGAGGTTGCAGAGAAAGGACTCTATACAAGAGAACCTGGCTCTGTTTGAGTCCCACTGTAAACTACTGTTCAGAAAGAAGCCAGTAAGACGAGGAGGTGGGTCTGGAGAAAGCCTCATGAGCAGTGGACTCGGAGTGCGGAGGTAGACACTGCCTCCACAGCACCGTGTAGTGCTGAGCATGGGCAGGAGACACCCCGGCTGCCGGCTCCCTCCAGCTCAGTCTCAGTAGGAAAGAGCTCCCCAGGGGGACGCCCTGCCCGGCTCCCGTACAGCCCACGGCCAGTGGCAGTGGCATAAAGGCCGGGGCCTGCAGCCCTGCAGGGACCACCTTGAGGGCCCTGTGTGCTCCAGCTCGGCCCTAACCTGAGTCACACACTGTCAGCCAAATCTTCTTTTTGTGCCCCAAACCGATTTGAAATAGTAGAGACATCACCTCTGCTCAGCACAAGTCACTGTCACAGAATTTCAGTTACACAACTTGTATCATTGTGAGACACAGGCATGCTTAGTGGAAGTGCCCCAGGACGCTGGCTACACCCTCTGGGGCTGGCAGAGCCAGCCTTCGGTCCCCTTAGCCCTGCTCGCTGACGCACACCACACACGCTGCAGGCTGACACTCTACCATGGGCAGTGTTGTTCTGTGGCTTATCTCAGGGCCCCGGTAACTGTACAACAGCCTCGCCCCACCTGTGATTTTCAAAGGATACCTAACCACAACCTTTCCTGAATCAGTGCTCTGCCAGCCTTTCTTTAGAAGCCAAACCAATGCGACACGCTGTAAGGTAAATGTCGGCTGAGTGACATCTTTTTCCTCCTTTCTGGAAGGAAGAACAGCTGCTGCTGTTCCCCCAAGAGCACGGGAAGCATTTGAAGGTGGGAAATCTGCTCCCTGTGGCCTCAGAATGGGGACAAGTGTGAAGGCCCCAGTGTCCACAGTCTCCTCACTCAGCACCTTCTAAGTCCCTCTGAGCACCGGGTGTAGTGCTGAGCTTAGTCCCAGCCAACGAGGGACACACAGCTGACAGGACTTGCACGCAACCCCGGCACGAGCTCAGCAGTATGGCAGGCTTTGCAGTCCACTTAGATAAAAACTGGTTCTAATTTAATGTCAGGTCCGAACAGATTAAATTCTTTTCTGCGGTTCCTTGCTGTGGCCCAGAGGCAGTTGTCCTGACCCTCACCGGCAGACGTGGAGCAGAATGTGACCATGCCCCCTAGCTACGGGGCCATGCACCATGCGCCTCCTCCCGGACCCTGGCTCCCAGGCCCAGCTCTGTTTGGGAAGCAAATTACTACTCAGGGCCCTTCCCCAAGTGCAGACGGCGGGGCAGCGGCCTAAGCGGGAAGCAGACCTCATCATTGTCACTGGAAGGGGCACAGATTTTGCCCCACCTTAGGAAGTCTCAACGCATCTGAAAGCAAAGCATCCAGGAAGAACTAGTTCCCGGCAGACCGGAACTAGTTAAGAGTGCATAAGCCAAGCGCAGGCAAAGCGCACAGAGTGCCCGGACCCCAGGCCAGGATTTCCAAAGTCAAGATCAGTGGGATTACAAACTCTACGAAGGCGCTATACAGCAAAGGCTGGGCTTGATCCGCTTCCCCGATGCAAAGCCTAGGTGTGGGTTCTTGGGGCGTGTGATGCGTGGGCCACGTTTAGCCCTTCCTGTAAGCAGAAGGTAGGAGAGCACGCTGGGCAGAGGAGGCCTACAGACCACGCGGACAGGCGCAAGCATGAGACGCTGCCTATTCTGGTAAACAGGCAATTTGTAAGACAAACCAGATAAGTACACAGTTTGAAAGACAAAACCCTGTAAGTGGGTGCAGAGGCCCAGTTTTGAGTTTATCACCTTTTTTTTCAGTCAGAAATGGTTTCCCACAGCATGCCTCCTAATCCTTCAGGCCACGGCTAACAACTGGCATGTTATAACCACATGAAGCTGACAGGCCACACTTTGACCCAGAGAATGCAGACGACCTGGGTACTCGACACTCTGGCTTGGCACTCTGGGCTTCGGCCTGGGAAAGCCCTGAGCCCAGGCTCTTGGCAGCCTCAGCGCAGAGTGAAGGCCAAGCCACAAGGGTCCCCTTAGCATGCTGGTTAACTGCAGGCATTAAGAAGCGACAGGTGGGCTCCCCAGCCCTGCTCGCTCTGAGCCTGTCCGCAGTTCTCCCGTCTCACCTTCCACAGTCGTAGCTTTGCCCGAGAGCACCACCGCTGCGCAGCGTGGCAGGAACCCCAGCCTGCTGTAGCTTCCCCCCAGGGCTCCTTATCAGGGCAGGGGGCGCCCTTCCTCTCCCAGGCTGGCTTTCTGAACCCTGCACTCACAGCTCTGCCTGCGCACCCCGAACAGGCACGGGTGCTAAGCGTGGGCTCCCCCACACAGAAGGAAACTGGGCTAATTCTCAGCAGGGAGGCTGGCGCGGAGCAGCTCCGCCCTGCCCTCCTCTGAATGGGCTGCAAGATTGCTATCAGGAATATCTCTGGAAGAGCGGCCGGGCCCGGGCCCGTGTCCCAGCAGTCGTGCAATTTGGCCTTTGCAAGGAAAATCATTTGTTATACAAGACAAAAACAAACACAAACACAAAGGCCTTTTATGCCTTCCTATTCAGGGAAGCTGCTCCCAAGAGAAGTTTCTAAACTTGGGTATAATTTTTCTTTTTATTAATTTTCCAAATTACGGTACAGTCCTGCTCAGTGATAGGACAACTTTTAAATACAGAAAAATAAAAATAAGTCTCTAGTAGTGATCTCAGTGATACGATTGAAGATGCCTGCTTTCTGCAGTAGATATTCAAGTCTTAAACTAAATCCCAAGCTGACTGACTCCAGTTTCCCCTTTCCAGATTGTCACGGTTGTGCTTCCTGGCTCCAACTAGGATGAAAATAAAAATGCCAAACGTACACGAAGTGGGCATTTCTTGTCTTTCTGAGATACCTCCAAAAGGTCACAGGAATCTGTTCAGATTTCCACCAAAAGGTAACAGGGGTCCAGGGGTCCCTTACGGGGTCAGAGTTCCATTATCTAAGCAAAATGCTATCTGTGAAGTGAAGATCAGGAAAATCATCGTCAGCCCTGCGGGTGCTCCCAGCCTTCCTTCCTGAGCTCCGCATGCATCCTCCTCAGCCACAGGAGGCCCCTCCCC